ATGTAACAATTCCCGCCTCATCCTGATTGGTTGCTAAGCTGAAGGGCACATTTACAAAATTGAGTTGCGTTTAATTGCAGCCGGTGACCACTCAACATGTTACACTCGTCATTGTAATAAGTATGGTAAATATGGAGCCTCTCATCATTAGACCACTAAGGAGTATGTTTTACGACGATTACCAACGGTGTGAATACACCAAAAGAAATCCTATTTGCTAGGTAGCGTTGTACTTAAAAAGCATAGGAACAGCATACAAGCTGTGAAGGATGAAAGTTTGAGCAACACGTGTTATTCGTATTAAGAAAAGTAAGTAACTGTATGAAAAATTATAAATATGGCCCATAAATTTGATGCACTTCATCAGCCAAACAGATGAACGAGTAGCCAAGCACATCAAAACGCACAAAGAAATACGTTAGCCGATATACTTTTGCTAAAGACGCATCCACACCAGATCACGAGTGATGACGTTGTATTAATCATCATCTGTATGTATTAGCCGTCTTAGACCAAACGATTTTCAACATGTCGATAGCTTTCCATATATCTCTTCTAAACCTTTCGTTTCTGACTTCTGATTTGACTCGGTTGCTATACTTCCATTATAAGGGCGTCACAAACAAAGGAGATGCCAAACTCCCTTAGTTTGATAGAAAGATCGCGATACATGACTAGTTAATATGAATAGTAACAATAAAAGATTGCATGTATACAAATAGAAAACCTTGCAAAATGAATAAGTTTGTAATGATTAGTAATGTGAATGGCGTAAGATGATTTAAATGTGATTGTTACGATAATCCAAAGTAATAGAAGAGTTAAATAAGGTGAAGTAATACCAGGAACAATTGTGAATAAAACCACGGGAATGTGAATAATAACTACGCATAGAAGGATATTTTCAGATCCGAAATATAATGATAATCACAACAACGATTGTTTAACGCCTAGGTAACGGTAAAGATTATTATCAACAATAATGATATTATTGTTCACAAATAACTCATGGGTACATAAGTGTTGTGAATAAACTATTTCAGGCCTCTTTAGAAATGCAACGATGCAAAAGTTTCAATAATGTTAGCATAATATTTGCCAGATTAAAAAAAGAATCAGATTCTATGTAATTGAGAAGAAAATCGAGTTGACGTTGAAGGAGAGTGAAAAAATAAGGGAATAGAAATGAAGGAAACGCAATGCACTTGAATAGCTCAATAACCGTGTATGTTAAGACAGAGCAAGAATACACGAATATGTATGTATCGTCAAAGAAATGACAAGTAATAATTGAAAACTAACAAATAAAATAATAACTTATTATTTCAGTAAGATTTGACGGTAGAATAAGTGTTTGTGAAATAATAGTTTGAGGTGATGCTATGAAAGTCTCAATTAATTGCAAAGGATAATCAATCATCAATGTGTATGGGTCATATATTATATATATATTATATCTACATTATATTCTTTATTAGTACATTCTCTAATATGGAGCCTCTGACTTCACTCTAACAAGACATAATATGAATTTATTCTAATTTATTATACCTCTGTCCGTTCTACTACTCAATGTTAAGCAACGTTTGGCGTTCATATTCAAGTGCCTCGCTGCTCTTCCGTTTCTCTTTTTTCTTCTTCAGAATCTTGCTCTGAGAGCACAGCTATGAAAATTCTGACGTTTGGAACAAACTTGACGTACGCGTCCTCTCAAGGTCATAGTTTACAGCAAGCGCTCTACGATTTCACTTTATAACAACTATAAACTTAATAAGTTGGGAAGCATTTTGCGAACCAACAAATTTTATAATTTATAGATCATGCCTGTAAAAACGGTGTGTACCTGCACATGCAGAAATATATTATTATTATTATATATACATAGTGAATCTATAATAATTCCGAGAAGTTAATTCATTTAAGTGTAACAAAAGATAGTGTTTCAATTGCAAACTTTGAATACTTGGGAATGATATTTATTCAGGAGGAAAGGTGTGATAGAGAAAAGAAATAAACAACCATTGTTAGGGTTTAACTATGATAATAAGAGTGTAACGAATATCGACCTCTGGAGTATACCATTATTTTTTAATGTTTTCAGTACACTCAGGTGACTACATGTAAAGTTATGTAATGGGATAGAGCGTAAAACATGTATTAGTATAAACGTTTGTGAAATAATAATTTATAATAATGCCATGAAGACAAATATTTTTATACGCACAGTTCTGCCTGCAGCAAATGGATAGCAAGAGCCTCTGCTATTTCCAGAAGTTATGCACGAACATATCTAAGTAGATTTAGACGAATTATATGAACGACCTTAGATTCAATCTGTGGAATGATTAGAGTCGGTTAACGTTGATGAATGTAACTTCTAACTGCTTCTCTCTCATCCTTGTAAGACCACATTGAGATATGTTCCCAGATCTGAGTGAAAAGCAAGCTCCCGCTACAGCCTATGTACTCTACATACAAGAGCAGGTGAACTAGTAGATACACATAAAAGTTATCAGATGAAGAAACTTGTTCATCACGAATGTAGAAAACGAGCTCCCACTAGCGAATGTTATTCGCAGTCTTGCAGCGAAGAACGCTCTTCTTATCGTCGCCATCAACCGACTTTTATTAACATCAGAAGTTTGATCAGCTCTAACTTATAGATTCACATAGAGATACTTCCGGACTTCTTGTTACCATTTCTCATGTTCTACATGAAGCGGCTCGCACAGCCGTTTTCAGTCGAAGTTTTTGCATACTAACTATAAGGCATTGAAACCAAAATCTGATATCTATCAGTAAAAGCAGCCTTTTCCCAGTCAATATACCGATACTTTTCAGAGGTTAATTTCCTCTATATCTAACTCTAATAAATAGTATCCCGTCAAAAGAGTATTTAATAAAGGCTAAATCTCCTATTAAAATTGTGGATTAACCCGAGATTGTTCAAAAGCCTGAACAACAGTTGTAGAGATAATTTAGATGTTGAAGATTAGCAAGATCCGCGACCATGCAGGAAACAGGCATACAAGGAAACGAGTACGTTTGTGTTAAAAATGCATATGTGTTTATGAGTTTAATGGATTGCGGATAAATGATTGGTGGCCTGTACTTACAACTAATGAGAGAATAGATCAGATCAATGTGCAGACACGCGCTCAGTCACACTCGCACATAATTTTACATAGTGGATTAAGTGTCTGAATTACATTGGGCAGACAAATAATTCAACAGTTGAATGGGGTTACTAAAACTTCAAACTGTCGCTGCTGAAGCACTTAACTGCAGATACAATTCCCCTTCTATTAGGGTAAAAATGGAGTGATGGGCTTCAAAGAGGATATTCGCAGTCGGTAGTACTTAAGCATACTGATGAAACAAACATACAGTAGTTACTGGGGGTAGTGTCCTGACAACTTCGGGATCATGCGGTTTTACTATCTCACCACCAAAAGTCACACTACAGCCACTTACCTGAAAAATGCAGTCAATAAAGGTGAGATTTTACGTAAATCCATCGAATGAAGAAAGAGATTTAACCATGCTGAAGTGGGCATGCCAATCAACTATAAGCAGCGCAGAGCTTGAGATAAATGTCCATAGGTCAGGGTGTCAGCTTTATATCAATACAGTCAAAGAGAAATATCAGGATAAAAATGCCAGAGACATTTAAGCGGTACCGGTCTTCCAGACTACAGATACATTCAAATCCATCACGGGGTGATGCAAACTTTTCCACGGGTACTATGTCGTATCTCCACTTTCTCATTTTCTGAGAGTAAAAGCAACTTATAAAGTATCGTTGTAATTACCTCTTCATTTCAAGTCACATAAATGTGTGCAGATGATCAATATCGGCTGCATGTCGCCTAGTCTGCATTGATGTCACGTCTCCTGGGTAAATCCCAGCCTAGATTGCGCTGTCGTGCTATCCCCTTCATCCTAATGCCTTGGCAATTACGTTAGTTGGGAGGAATTCTATTTAGCACTAGATAAATCACCGTGCATGTAGGAAAAGTTCACCGACCCTCATCAAGGTCAAGAAAAACCAATCAGCAAGTCATGGACTAGTCTAAGCGGTAGCTTCAGCATTACGTATATTCTACTTATTCCTAATTATATATTTCTATACTAGTGTCGTCTTTGTCCTATGCGGTCATCGAAGTATCCACAGCGTCTGAATAAGACGGAAGGGCAAGAAATGTCACGTTTTAACCGCGAGATGTTACTACCATGAAAGACAGACGTTCATGCTACTCCTGAGAGACTTGCGTAGGCCCCCAATCAGGTACATCAATCGTCTACATTGGTGATCTAAGACTACATGTAATAAATAGGATTTTAACGAAATAATCGAACACACAAACCGATTGGGTTTGTATAGAGTGGAAACACTGATATGATGTGGGATCGCCGAATTCATGATTGTAATCCTTCAGTGTGACGAAGTTTGGCAAACTATTCAACGTTTATTGACATACTGATTGACCTAGAGGGGGTTTCGCTTGATGAAACATTTTCTAAGAGTTCAGCATTACCTCACTGGTCTTACACTTGTTGTGAAATATCTATGTAAAATACTTTTGAACTTGATTATAGAGATGCAGCTTATGCTCAAGTTGTATGGATTGGGACCGCCGCAAGTTTCATGAATATTCGCACAATATCATGCAGTTTTCTTATTTCATGTTGGTTCATCTATTAAAAACTCATGTATAATTCATTTTTTTATATTCTGCTTTAAGACGAAGAACGGCATAACTCTCACTTAATCAGTCAGATGCTAATTCAAAAGATATCATTGCCTAATCAAAACAGTATAGTGAGCCAAAAGTGAAAATGAAGATAAACAACGGAGCATAAAGCGAACAAATTATTCAATTTTACTATTGCAGTCATATATCTCAACAAAAAACGCAGTACTGTATTATATGATTGTCTATTAAAGATATGTTAGTGATTTCAACAAAAAAAACAGCGGAAATATTTAGCAACTTCAGTGACTCTTAAAATCCTACAGATTATAGTTAGTTGGTACTGTCTGGAAACAAAAAGTTATTAAACAAATTCTGATAACATTGTTTGTATTTTTTGAAAGATGTAATTCGTTGCTATTCTTCTTTTCAAATTGCTCGCAACATGTGCGAGGTGGATGTGAAAATCATCAAACGAACTCAAGAAACCCTTGGAAAGTTAATCAAAAAGCCAGTCCTTACTGAAAAACTTTTGTCAAGACCTCCATTTAGATTTCTTCACGATATATGTACGTCAGTGAGTAAACAACTAGATTTGTATTGTATAATTCTTTAAGGTTATTAGGTCGACAGGATTAATGAAGGGTTTATTTAACTCAGAAGAGTTGGAAGCTGATAATGTCAAAGACAAAGACAAAAAGTTGGCATTTCTTCAAAAGTTGGTAGATTTCTTGTCGGTAGTGCATGAACGAACTATTCCTGTCAGAATAATGAGCATGGTTGCTGGTAAGGAGGCTGAGAAAACGAATGAGATGCTGTTCTTACTAGCTGAAGCTGTCAACAAAAAGGTTTGATCAAATAACTTATGATCGTTTAGATCAACAACGAAGAATATGTTGCCCGAGTTCTCCAAGGAAGTAAAGTCGATGATGTTAAACCAAGTGCTGTTGGAAAGCAAGTATCAGAAACTAAGCATTCAAAAAAAAAGCCTGGTATGGAGTCAAAGTTCGTGGATCATCGAACAAAGGTGACTCAAAGTCGCCGGAAAAACAAGTCAAATGGGGAAAAAGTAAATGAAATTGAAAACAAACTTTTCGTTGATAATAGTAAAGGTATACAGTTTGCTTGTTGTATGTGAATTATCATGAGTGCTCTAGTTGAGATAATGTCTTAACTTGCCTAACTTATTTTCTGCATGCATCAATCAGCCTAAAATCACCAAATACTTTACAATTTAGTTCTGATATTTTATACTCATGTTTTGAATCGTAGTTCATATGGCACAAAGACATTCGAAGTACGTTGTTCAAAAGTATACTGAACAACAATCAGATTTACGTTTGTTCTCTCAAAGCCGGTTGGAGGTATGTGTTAGTATTTTACTGGTATTTTATGCATGTGCCCACTCTTGAATAAAGGTGCAATTTTATCCATTAGTCGATTCGAACAGTTTACTTTTCTGTCAAAATACCTGTTTACTACTTATATTTTTTACGGTTTTTAATCTTGCCCGCTAGTTTAAAGAAAACGGATGTATTGAACCCAAAATTCTTTCTTAGTATACTGTGAGTCATCCTAAAGTCTTTATATAATCTACGGCAATACTGTGTCAAAGTGAAATTTTCCAACCAGTCGTTGCAAAACAAATCAAACGCTTTTTGACACCACGCGAGTAATTTTCTTCTGCCATAATACCAATCTATAATCATAAATATACCCTGGAGTAGGTTGATTTTTCATTAATTTGTAGCAGAAATTGACACCACACAGTCTCTTTACAACCTGTAATGTACCGTTTTATTCTGTGCTGTGGTCAGACTAGTGGTGATGAGCCTGGTAGATCAGATGCCGTTAATGGTCAATTTGAGACAATAGTGTCTTTCAGTCACAACCATATCACGAAAGATAACCAAACGCCTTTACCGTATAAAATAAAATTTCAACTTCACATAAATATACCCCAGAAGTTACGCACAAAGTTGAAATTTCCGGAAATTTATCTCGCTTGATCTAATTTATGACTTGAAATTCGATCAAACTTATCGGTTATAATATTTATAAATTAGTGAACATTATTTATTGGTTTATTGTAAAACATATCAGTTTTGTCGAATAACTGTTACATTTTAGTAGTTATCTCAAACATCATTTTTCCAGCACTTTGTTTATTTGCAATATATATTGCTGAATGCCTCAAACCCACTAAAAATAGAGGAATTACAAGCGTAAATGTATAATATTGTTCGTGTTGCTTTGGTCCCTTGTTAGCGGTTATATGTTATCTTAATTGATTAACACCAAACTATGCTATAGCGTCTAAGAGGACCATCTTGAAGTCGCTTTAGCACACATTTTTATAGGTATTTCTCGATCCATGCAAAAGTAAGGTGTTATCTTCTGTTACGCTGCTTCTTTTAAAACACAAATGAAAGCTGAGCGAGTAATTGTGAAGCCTCTTAGACTCCATCTGTCTAATTTATGTCATCTACATCGTAAGGAGAAGTCAGACTACTAGTTCAGTATACTTGATAACAATTACAACAGACTATGTAAACACAATGTAAAACTTTCTTGCAGTTCAATCAGTTACCAAACTATATATACTGACTAAGATCTTGTATTGATGTCATGGTATATTAATTTTTAAAGAGTGCGTGGAGTCGATTTAACTGCCAGGTTATTCAACACATTTATTTACAGAGTTAGACCTTCTTCAAGTTTTGTATGACGTTTGCCAAACAGATTGTTTATATGGAGGTTTAAAAATGATTTGAAGTTATACTGTCATTTGTTTAGAGTGACTATAATTTCTATACAATCATCAACTTGTAACTAAATTATAATTCCTCCGAATACAAAGTATAAAAAATATTTAGAAGTCTCCTTGTCAAGGGTTTTCCGTTTAATTCAACTGCATAAAAATATTTTCATTTTAAAACTGAATAAAGTTTCCCGACATAAAAAGGAGTTTGAAACTCTGACACTCAAAATTAGTCCATTTACATTAAAACTGGATGGCGGACGGACGGCCTTGTCTAACTGTACTCTCAGTGGTTGGATTGTTTAAACAGAGTTGAAATTTTGATAATTTAATATATTATTTATAAAATTCTTGACGTTTAAAACTGGGTATAATTTAATAAGTCAAGTATGCTTATGTATTTTTGTGGGAACACTTACTTTTTGAATATTCCAGGGGACATAAAATAGCATCCTAACAGCACGCCAGTCACTAAGAGAATGTGGGAATGTCACACAGTATTTCACGTTGTAGGCTACTTTAAATTGACTTTTGTTTTGATGCGATTCTTATATTTTGCATGTAAACGATTATTAACATGTAATTGAGTAGGTTTATGAGAACACTGACCTAGGTACATCATAGGAATTGTAATGCATCTCGTGCTATTTTTAACCGTTTAAGAGGACCACTTTGTGATACATTCTTGCCTTCAGTCATCTTTATTCTATTGCTTCTGTCTCAGCGCTAAACGTCTGTCTTACTGCTGTATTTAGCAGAAATAAAGTGAATTAGCCTTATTTAGCAAACCTTAAACGGATTTAGATTGATAACTGTAATAAAAATTAATATCCGCTATCTGCTATTCGTTTTTTACTATTTACAATTAGGCAGATAAACTGAAGACTCTTCGTATCGTTCTTTTGAAATATGGAATTCACACACCTATTCAAACCTAGGTTAGTTTCTGAAGGTATAAACCAGAGCACCCATATGACAATCACACGGTCATTATAATCCCATTAATTACTTTTCACTTATGTATGTGATAAGTTCTAAGCTTTTATCCATGCAAGCAGTTTTATATATACGCAACTTTTCATGTGTCCTCATGATCTTATTCGTGCACCGAATTTCTGCATTGCCTAAACTTGCTCAACAATTGATTTAGCGATTAATTAACATATCAATCCCCACGTAGATACGGTGGGTTCCAACGTAAATCGACATCACAATCAATTCACTTTGTGTAAAATATATATATTCCCAACACACTGTGTATTAGGCTATTTTATAATGCGTTTTCGTTTGAATTTCGACTACACAACAAGCATAGCCAAGGAAATATACAAAATTAACGAGAAACTATATCAAATGGGAGCCAAAACTAATTAATAAGAGACAGTCATGTTCTAATAACAAAAAGAACTTACTCAGGCAAGATATATTTTCACAAAACTTTTTAAGGTAGGTTTAAACTGAGAAAATCTAGCTGAAAAATATGTTCAAATTGATTGAAGTGGTTTCTACATTTTGTTTGTTCATGAGAACATTTTTGTTTGTTTTAGGACTCAACAGACCCAGTTAATGTAGAAAAGTGTGGTAGCGCGAGGGAAAATCATCTGTTTCAAGATTCTGGAAGTCGTGCTGGCAGTCAATGTGGTTTACAAACACCGGAAAAATCGCAAGAGGAAATCGTTGCTCCTTCCCTCCAAAATTCTGAAGTATCAGTCTTCCAACCTCGACATCACAGACCTGCATCCGCCAAAGGACAGAGGGTGAAAAGAGATGGTAGTTGTTTGACATCATTTTGTTTCTACGTATTTTAATCACGACCTCTTGATGACTAATTAACCCGAATTTCTGGATCATCAGAATTAATCTTAAACGTTTACAGATCATATACGAACTAATATAAGCGAAAAAGTTTGTTTTAAATCATGTCTTCATCAATAGTGATATCACTACCGGTACACCTACCATCTTAATGTGCATTTATACTTTTTTACATACCATATTTAGCTGTACAATCTATTTCATTATCAACTCAACTTGCGGTCATTGGTTTAATAATTTTCACATATGCGTATGGGTAATTCCGTAAATTACATTGAAACATGAAGATCCAATTGAAAATGATATTTTTCGCTTGTATGCGTCGTTCTAGTTAACAGTTTCCTAACTTCTACTACTATAATTAATAATAGATACTCCCCTAGAATCATTTAATCCTAAATAATGTGATGATATATTCCAGTATCTAACAGGTTAAATTGAGGTATTAGATATTTGGCTTTTTTCAGTTATATTCTAATCAGTCAGTTAGTTTGAATAGGGCTGTTCACCAGTCAAACCAATCTTACTAGTTATAAAAAACGAATTAATATGGTGAAGAAATCTTTCAGAATAGACTCAATGCTCAGCTTTTCTTTTCTACTAAATCCATGCCAAAAAAGACGAATTATAGGAAATCAATTGGTTTCATTAAGGTCTTAAATTTTTTTACTTATTTGTGTAAACTGTTAATTGATATTTAAACCAATATATAGTCTTTGATAGGTTGTAACTGGATAAAGAGGGTTGTTCTCGAATAGAATATACCGATTCAAATACATGATAAATGATTTTAGATAATAAGGCCTACTTTAAAGACAATCCTATCGAAGCTTCATAATGAGCTATGTACAGTGATAAATAATTAGAAAGCGGACTAGTGTTATAAGATATCAACTGATTTAGTAAATTTCCAAAGTGATTAATGTGTCCGAACCGAGAACTCGTCGATTGAATCGACCTTGAATCCCATGAATAATAGGCTTCAGAAAACTTGAGCACTAGGACATAAACTATTGATAATTATTTGTATAGGTTTTGCGGAAATATCTATATCCGAAGTGATGCTTAACCGTTAATTATTGTTTAATCTTGTCAGATGTAAAGATGTCAACCGATCAACAGGATAATAAACGTGAACCAACTGAAAAGTAAGATAAAATATTTTAAAGTTTTTAAAAAACATCGATTTTATACCTTTTAACCAAATATCTTGGTAAAGCTATAAGTTGGTCATCTGTATTTTACTGAACTACAGATTGAGCAGATAGTTTACTAATAAAATGATCTGGATGTTCTCGCTAATGATTGCAGATCATTTTTAAAACATTCATTATAAAGAAGTTGATCAATATCAAATCAACATCTTTGCATATATATGAAATATAATTAATTTCGAATCACTATTTTAATAAGTGAGAAACATTCAATGAAGTAAACGGTTTATTTAGACTGTTAAATTTCATAAATTACATGAGCAACTTATCTTAGACAACTAATGAAAAAAATAAAATACTGGACAGTTGGTTAATGCTAGTAGTTAGTTTATCATTATTATTATTACTATTATTATTATTATCAAACAATATGTTAGACTGTATACAGCATCAATAATTGTATTGTTCGATACTGTCGAGACAGTCGATCAACTTAAATATTTTACGTATATGTTAAAAATAATACAAGTTTATGGTAGAGAAACTTTGTACTATTCAGAATATTATACTTATATAAGCTGAGTAATTTAAGTTTTTGAGTTGAATTTGTCTGAAAAAATTAGAGATGAACTACATTTTAGATAATTTAAAATCATTTCCAAATCGCTCTACTCTTCTTCACAATACAATTTAATTAAGATAATTAATACCCAACTATCGACATTATTCAGAAGTGTATATTTAACACTTATTTAGTAATATTAAACTAAAAAATATTCTAGAATAAGTTTTGATTACTGTAATGATTGAAGTATCCTAAAAATTTATACTTTAATTGTCAAAAGATATGATATTCATTATTACACTCAAAATCGTTTCTATTGAGATGGTTTGTTTGCTGAAGTATATTATGCTTTCAATAAGTTTTCTGTCAACTGTTACGGGAGGTGAAAAATTGTTCAAATCATTCTTCATAAATAGAAGATATTAATTTAATAGTTGAATTCATGAGCCAATTGAAGCTAGACTACCATGAAAAATTTGGAAGCACTGGATGGCCGTTTCGTCATTTCATGGGACTCCTCAGCAGTGCGCACCCACGAACCCGTCCCGCTAGATTTGAGTCCAGGGCATATCGATCGCAGGCAAAAGCTTAACCTCCAAATCACTGAGCCGGTATCCAACGGTGTTAATGCCTAACTTCAAGCAATGCACGAAGTTGCGCCGCCATCCATCATTGTCTTCAGTGAGTTACTATCTCACAACAGACCCGGCTGAACTTCACTGGTTACTGCTTTTCATTATAACTGTACGAAATACCTATTGTTGGGCAAATGATGATTATAACCAGTGCTTTTAAGTGTTTCATGGTGGTCTAGCTTCAGCTAACTCATGAATTCAACTATTAAATTACTATAGTACTCCCGAATCCCTTTCTGGGAAGACATTAATTCGATGAAATGGCTTATTTTCAAGTATTCTAAACTCCAATAAATTATTGTCCTTAAAAAGTTTGGTTTCAACAAAGACTACAAATTTTTTTAATATGAACATTTATAATAATAAAATATATTATTTATTATTAACATCCAGCCCAATCCCCCAAATTATTTAAAATTATAAAGCTCAACCTTAGCAATAAGACTTTAAAAAAAGTATTCGTGTAGTTGTTCGTCAGTAAACATAATATACAAAGAGTAGAAATTCTCAGGAGAATTCCTTGTCAGGAGTCATAGCCATTATGATAATAAACACAAATCAAGTAAAGGCAATTTAAGCGGCAGACAGTATAAAATAAGGAAATGAAAACAAAAAATGGATCAGAGCCACTTAATATATGAGTTTTAAAGAGAACTAGGCGTTCAAGGGAAGATTTGTACTATATTTCCCAGTTTTACGGTTAACAAGCAAAGTGATTTTACAGTTTAGAACCCTAAACTGCGAGTGCTTTGTTAGCACATCAATATCTTTTTGGAAGTTATTTCAAACTCTTATTCATTCATTTACGGATTGAGTTCTAGAGCAGGAACTAAACATAAAATTACACATTAAGATTATGGAATACATAAGCTTCCACTTTTAGGATTACCTTATAAGCCCAGGGGCATAATAAAACAGCTCCGAAATTTTAGGTATAAAATAATTTCTTAAGCGGTTCCTCAAATGATTTACCAGAAATATTAGTGACTATTTCGCCTTCAGAGTTTAATTTTAATTTTGTATATCTAGTTTATGATAGAAAAATACAAAACTCAACACATTGTTTGTCAAATTTTCTTTACATAAATTGCTTTTTGTTAGCTCAAGATTGGTACCACCTCGCCCAAGACGTTCTGGAGATTTCGTAATTGAAGATAATCATAAGTAAGCGCTCGGTCTTATAAAAGAGATATTCAGCATTGGATTTTGTTTAAAACGTTTAGGTTTTTTAGGTAAATGATCTTGAATTACTTTAAAAGATTCGCAAACTTTCTGTTTTAACATCAAATTTAAAAGAAGATAACTGTGCAGTTGAAATTTCTGATGAACGATGAATAACAAAACTATAATTTATGGAAGAAGCAATCAAATCTAAGATTTTAAATTTTAGCGCGAAATTCCTTCATTCACATGGCTAAATTACATTTTTTCACTATTGCTGTTATCATTTTATAATGAAGACCTTTATTCTGCATCATAATCCTATCTCATAACTCTAACTTCAAGTTTTCATTCCTCACACTAATTTATAACCTTATTTAAACTGTAATAAGTGATTGAAGTTTCCAAAGAATTCTCTAGTATCGCTCAAAAGTCGTCCATAAATTATCATCTTGCCGCAAAAACTAATTAATTCGTTTATGAAATTGAGTTTATTTGCCTTTGAATGATTAATTATTTCAATATAATCACTTGACTAATTCCCGTGACCCCATAGGCTTATTTCTCCATGGTTATTGATTTCAAATGATATTTTTAAAATAACGTCTTCGATTTTTATAAGTCTACTTTTTTGTCAGTTACATACGACTTTTCCCTGCTCATTTTGAAAATATTTTCGTCACATAGAAAAAACGTTAGATTGATAAGGTTTATTAATCTATCTCGGTCACCAATTATGTTGCACATTTTTAATGTACATTTCTTTTATTTCAAAGCTCATTAATCCCAAACTGAATCTGTACGTGCTCCGATAACGTTTTTGTAGTATGTGATTATTTCAATATTATCGTAGTTTAAATTAATTTGTGACCTAGTATACTTTAGGTTGAAATCCCTTTCAAAATATTAATTTTAGCAACGTTACTAATATACACACTTTACTGATGAGCGCTAAATGTTATCAAAGAAATTCGAACACCATTCTCCGATTGCTTTTCAATACTCAACACTATTTGTTTTCTTCAAAACACATTACCTATGGTCTACTACAAATTTACTTTTTCTGCTGATGTTAATCTTTGTATCATTTTTATATATGGAAACGGTAATTCCTTTCGATAACTGATGTAGTTTCTATTCATGTGTGATATTCACTCGGGCGATTAATTCTGAAAAAATATAGATTCCATCAGTTTATCTTTTCCGATTTACTAGTTGGGATTTGATCTTTGATAACGAAGAAATTAGATAAGATGCTTGATTGTATATTTTGGATAGAATATAATACATTTAAATAAGAAATTCTTTAAGTTTCATTCTTCATTGAAATAATTCAGTAATTTGTTCTCTTAACAAGTTTAATTATCTTTCTACACACAATTAGTTTTAAAACGTTTTGAGATAACATTTATTTCTGTGTAATTAGGATACTATTTTGAATTTATTTTGTTGTCATTGATCCGATCAACAATTTACTGTTCTCTAATTGGCGGTATAATTACGCAACAAAATACAACATATTTTTAAATGAGAATCGTCATTTTATTTCTCTATATTTTAATAAAATTATATTTTGTTGTCTGTCATAATGTAGTTTAATTTCATTATTTTTGTCTCATTCCCCATATAATATTTAGTTGCTTAGCTACATTTAAAATTCTTATTTTTGTTTTTATAGCATTGACATTACATAATAAAAGGAATGTATAACTCCTAAATTTGATTTCTTTTAATACTACTGCTACTACTACTACTACTGGATTCCTTAAATGACAAGAATCGAGATCAATCATTGTAGTGTAGATATATTCGTTCTCTATCCTTCTCTAAATTTAACATCTCAACATAATCACTCTTTTTTTCCAGTTTTCATGAATTCTTTTGGGAATGCTTTTTATGCCTAGTTTTTTTTATTATGAAATTCGATTATCTATTCCTATTGTAGTAACCGTCTAAAATGTTTGAATTCATCACAAAGCTTTTTAACAGCATAGTTAAAATAATACAATTCAAACCTTGAATCCTAATACATACAATTAGATCAAAGAAAAACTATACTTGAATAAATTTTTTATAAACAATATAAATAAACTATTATTATGCTTTTTTATCAATTAGACAAGTGAATATGACATGTATATCTGGACTTATTATTTCTGATTCACAACAAGATACAACTGATGAAGAACACGATGATGATAATAATGATGATAAGAAATTTGTTAGCGAAGAAACTCCTGGTAATATATCAGCTGATATTTTAACAAAACAGTGGGATAAAACTGAGCCAGAAGATAATCATGAACATGGTAAGCTTATTTATCATAACATAAACATAAATTTTTTAAAAAAAATAACCGTAAAATTATCATCAACCACAGAAAAGTTTTCTAATACCCATTAATTTCTTCACTTGATAATGGCTGTGACTGACAACATTCTAAGGTATTATTAGTTAAAGTTGTAAGCTTTGTTGTCTGTTGATTTCCTCAGTTTAATCAGATACTAGTTGAACATCAATAATTGATGGAAGAACTTCAAAAATTACTTATTTATTCTCCTGTAAAGAATCAAATTACAAAACTGATTTTAAAAATTCTCTCCATGAAAACTACCTTTCAAGTAGTTTCATTGAAATGTCATACATACTGATAATCACTCTTTTCATTTCCGTATGTCTTGGTTTGTTTAATATTTGTGTTGAAATTTTATGTATATACTACAGAAAAGTTTATAATTCTACGGGAAATTTAAATTCATTATCAGAATTAAAGTAAATTACAACTTAAATCAAATCTCTGCTTAACTGTTATCAAGAGCGTTTTAAAAAAAGTCTAATAGATATTCAGTTTTCCCTTTTGAATATACGACTAAAATAGACAACCCGATTAGATATCAATTCACATTCAACTTTGTTTTTTTATTTTTGTTTATTTTAAGTTGTTACAAATAACTCTCGTTGTAAAAAGTAAGATACAGTCATTTTTTTAAGATGGTGGTCGGGAGTAGTCAACAGGAAACCCTGGACCCGGGTTTCGTGCTACTTGGCACTCGTCAGCAAAGTGTACGTGTAATCTTAAGGGATCTGGTGGGCTGTCCGGGCCGCGACCAACCTTCTGTAGGACTGAGATGTAATCACAATTGGTTGGTCACTGGTGATGATCAATCAATTGTGATTACAGTCTTTTTTTTTACTTTATCAAATAACAACCCATACCCAGTAGTACCACTCGATTAAACCTAAAATCACTCACATAAAAAGCTTCAGTCTATCTTAAGATAATTAATTTAATATCCAACATATTTATGTAGGCATCATAGTGATCATGTCTTGATAAATGAAAAATGTAAATGAGATTCTTTCTTTTTATGTTAATATTCAACAATTCTAGGTGGTTTAGTCACTAAAATATTACAGACGAAAAAAGAATATGAAAATGTCAATACAATGAATAAAGAAAGTTTAAAAGTACAGGTTCGTTATCTCTATTTTAGTGACAACTTAAATATAATTCATTTTAATTTCTTCAAGTAAAATTATTGTATCGTTTAAAGTAATTGATAGTTAGTAAAACATCAAGCTTTTTTCAACTTATGCAAGGAAAACGAGTGAAATTCAATATCATTTCCATTTGAATGATTCAAATATAAAATGAATGTATTTCCAGTTTCTGACCATTAAAATATCTTAGTTGTAAAACGGTACATTTTCTAATCAAGTTAAAACATGCAATCATGAGGCTTAACTGACAAATATGTTTCCAGTTTTGCCTTATTTATTTAAAACTAGGTTTATTTTTAATCTATCATGTACGTTATTTTCAAACAAATTGATATATGATTAAATAGGTCTTATCATCCACCATATGTAATTAAGATATTAGACTATCAAAAACCCAAGGTTCCTCATTTACAAACAGCATTGATGTTAGGTATTACTTATTCCATATTTTATTCATGCTAGTGTAAAGCTGTGAATTTATCACTGATCAATTATCTGTCTTAAACTGGCTTTGCTCGAAACTTCACAGTTTTTTAGTTAAGCAATCCATGCTCTACTGATCAACCATTCATTTAATGGCTTAATAGCTGAAAATAAATTTTTGCAAGTATGCAACTTGATTGTTTATTGGTCACTGTTAGTCAACCTGCACATAATATCGCCAAGACGATATTTATGGACGAACTAATCACGTATAAGATAACTGGTCACGGATTTCGGCGCGAAATTCACCCATACATCTAAATACATATATTATAACTGATATCAGCTCGTGATGAAAACCCGAAATTTAATTCCTAAGCTTAATCGTTAACTGTAAATTATAATTATAATTTCATACACAGGTTCATAACCCTCATTTGATCCTGGTTATTAATCAGACACTCTCAAGGTCAGTCTAGCGTCGCCCAAAGGTCGTTCATAAATTATCGTGTCACGTTATTATCATAAGCTTTACTCGGGATTATTTTTTTGGTACAATAGCGAAGTCACATCACAAAGTATTTCAAAAAGTTTCCGTTTCTTACTTGTTGGTCGATCGTGACGATAAATGCTAAGTGGTCGTCAGTTGGAAGTGCAGTAAATGGATATCTAAATAATGTACATTCTTTTCGTTGCATACTGCCAGCAACCACGATATCTCTGATTGGGCCACTTGTAACTTGTACAATGAAAGGTTGTACACTTTATAGAAACGCACCTGAATATGTTATGCGATTAATAACCATAATGATGAATTAAAACAAACAAAATTGGATAGCTTGTTGAAATATTTAGATGGCAGGAACAAGTGGCCCAGATGTTCATCTAACTGATATAACTGCTTGATGTTTTATTCACTTCAATTTTACTTACAAATTCACTTGGTTAATTACATATCTGAAAGATTGTTTTATAGTCTCATTTTCTCAACTATTTTAATTTAACACAACTGGCAGCGGTTTTTTTGTAAATATCAATAATTTTCCTGGAAATTTTTGATATTTCTAGTGATTTTAATAACTTAAAGTAGTTTTAAAATGTTGTCAGATATACCCAAAGTATATTTATATTCATAAAAACTATTCTTCAAAGAAATATCAAATTCCTAATGAAATCTTGATAAACTACTTATTTGGTACATTTCTTCACATCTACATAAGTTAGATAAAGAAAAAGAAATTAGAGAACGTAATCTTATTACATCTTAGTACGTTGTCTTTGTTACTATGTACCAGGATTAAATTTGATTTTTTAACACAATAATCTAAACTAAGTGATTGGACTAAAATCGCCTCATATCTTTCTATGTACTAATTCTTTCTTCCTGTACTATATCTTTATATACAATCTTTCTTTTATATATTACCACCATTGAATTAACTACTTATATGAACCGAATGTTCATCTTGCTGTGCTAATGTGGTAAGTAAGTAAGTAAGTAAGTAAGTATGAACCGGATGTTCATCTTGCTGTGCTAATGTGGTATGGCAACTTGGATCGATGCATATATGTGCCTAATTCTACGTTGTAGCTGACTGACTGAATCGATGAAATTCACAAAGTTTGATCCGTTGAATGTTTATGTGGATTTCTTCCAGAAATTGTGAATTTTCATAAAAAAACTCGATTTTCGGTGTTGTGATGTTTTATGGTTTACACATGTTTACTGCATAATTTATACTATTAGTATCGGCTACAGATTTCAGAACTACGTCTAACGGTTTTATTAGTTTATGCTGATGTTATTGATGATATGTTAGTTTTCTTAAATTATTTACTATCATCATTTTCAGTTATAAGTTGTTATTAATTGTTTTATTAAACTGCCATTTAATCATTTGACTGCAAGAACTAGTTATAAACGATTGTTAATAATTAGAAGTGTTATCCAATCATTAAATCTTTTATTATAAACACCAAAAAACAATAACTTTTCTTCTCTAAATCAAACCAAATGATTTATTTTATACACATTTTATTCAATAAAAGTCTAGCGGATTGAATGAAGCAGCTAAAGAACGTGAGAAAGCTTTATTAAAAAAAGAAATTAATCGTTTATGTGATTCACTGCAAACACTATCACGTTCAGCTATTCCATTGAGTAAACTGATGGATTTTGTTCAAGAAGATTTAGAAACAATGCAACAAGAATATGAACGTTGGAAAACTGAAAATCATATACTTAAATCTCAATTGAAACAACAGGAAAAGTAAGCGTTAGTTTTATCAATATTCTGCTTTCAACTATGACCATTTAGCGTAAACTGTAAAATGTAAGAGTCAATATTGTTATCCAGAAAGATAATGAAAGCTCCTCAAATCAGCCACGTAACTCAGAGTACCCAAAAATGTCGAAGAACTCATTTAAGCTACGAATCTTTTCCATTATATATATTTAGTGCTTATATAAATGCTTGGTTAAGTATAGCCTCTGTTTTGATGACATACTGATTCAATTTAATTTTTAATAACAAAAATGCAAACTCTCGAATCAATTTGTTAGTTTTTGAAACTTCATTTAATTTATCAGATGTTAATAAGAGAATTTGATTAAATATTTACTATAACATTTAATCAACATAAAACTGTTTAGTATATTGTTTCCCAAACAAAGATTTCATTTCAAGCTTGAGGTATTACTTACAATAAATCATCAATATTAAAGTTGTAAGCATAAAACTAACACAGAACTTAATTATTACCAATATGCTGAGTAGAGTGTGTAAAACATCGTGTACACATTCAGTGTAACGGTTAAAATAGAACTCTTGTATCTTTGATTTTCAATGTTTGGAATGGATGTTAGCAGATAATTTTTAGTTGCTGTGCTTTAATAAAGTGAACAACCGTTTTATACATAATATCAATAATAACCTAGTTTAGATTTATATTTTCATAAATGCAACTATATATTACTAAGACTTTAAATAGCCTAATACAGATAAACCTTATCTGAAGGAAGAGAGATATAATGTAAGTTATATTAAATATAGTACATTAGGTAAATAGCAATAAGCGATAAATTGTTGTGTATTCTGAGAGTAGATTTCTACTTTATGTCTCTTATTCTCACCTACTAAGAAGATAAAATTTGGCTATGTTTCTTGGACGTTTCTACCACATTGAAATGTGAGCAAAGAAAAAGCTAAAAATTAAAAGGGCCAGGTACAAAATCATAGTATTGAGTGTACCAGAGTTTGACAGAATTCATGTTCATTACATAGAAAGATGGAATTCTTAACGACACTTTCTTGTGTAAGACGGATGGCGTGGTCATAAAGGTAGACCCCAAGGTCAGCATTAATAATCATACCTAAAGAATTTCTGTGACCAGTAATAGAGTATTAAAAGCAAATAAAGATGATTACTCAAAAATAGTGACACGTGATTGATTTCAATCAGTAATTGTTATATTAGGATGAGGATTGAAGGATTGGCAACTCCTGGAAGTAATGCATTATTATTGTTATCATTATTATGTATATTATTACTGGATAATTATTAGGAATTAAATTGCTATGTCTATGTATTTCGTTTATCTGAAATTTCTGGTGAATTTAAAAAACAAATGTCACATGAATTACTATTCCTGTTGACAGTCTCCCCTTTTCACAGACATTTTTGTCCTGTTTGTGTACGACTGTTATTTTTTATTTTATGATATAATGAGATCCGGTATTTCTGTATATAAACCATGTCTGTTCGAACTGAAGACTTGGTAGATGCTGATTGCTACGTCTGAATCCAACGTTAGGCATATAGCGGTGCTAGCTAACAGTGGATCAGCAGGAACCTAACTGTCGAGTCAAGGTCACTCGTACTGGTTGGTTATGTAGTTAGGCAAATCAGAGACACTAGATCATAAACCAAATAACAGATCAAATTAGAAGTTGGTTTCGCATTAGCATCTGGGCACATGATATTGGTCACTGTAATTTAAAATAATGCTCTTCCACAGAGTGAGCAAATAAAAGATATTGGTTGTTCCCATACCTTTAACAGCAGTTCAATTTATCTTGTTTTTCCAATCATCTTTTCTTCCGTTATACTTCTACAATGCTTCTAATTTAATGTCAGCCGTATTCTGTCTACATTTGTATTTGCAAAAGCAACTGATGCTTTTGAATCTAACTAATGGTTAGCTTAATGAAATCTCCTTTTGGACTAAATGGACGAGGGCATAACCCTTAATGTTCACATTCTGGGGATCAAGAGACTCAAATCCCAGTTGTTGTCTCATGGGAATAAGTAAAGCCCGTATGACCTATGGACAGCTATTTTGTGTCCTACAGATGCTAAGACCTGAGGCAGGCTAACTGTTCGTATTCATTTCTAGATTTATCATTTTAAACTGCATTACAGATCAATAGAAAACTCTCAGTCTTCATAAAGCATTCTACCACTTGTCGTTGGGATTGACTGAAATAGATAAATGAGGGCAGTTTTTGTTAAAAGTTTATGCTTTAAAAGTATATGGAGTACTTCGATTGCCGTGTGGAATATATTCCATTTTTACCGTTGAAACTATTCAGATTTTGAGTTCTCATTTTCATAAACTAACATGTTATACTACTTAATAAGTAATAAAATGTTAATAAGATGTTAAATAAACACTGATTCGATTCATTAAATAACACAATATATAATTCATCATTAATTCTGAATAAAAATACTATTTTATGAGTTATTTAATTTTTTTTTATTTGACAATATTATACTACATGATTACTTTATACTTTCAGTTTAACCCAAACATGTATAGAACCTTTGAAAGCTCAACTAGATGAATTAGAAAAATATGCCAAAGAAAAAGAGAAGGCTATTATTAAATGTAAAGCTAAAATATTTCATAACAATGAACGTATACAAAATTTATTGTTTAAATCATTGGAAAAAGTCTTGTGAACAGTTATTTAAAATAAAATAATTCAATGAACATAGTGAATTTTCATCTTAACATTCTGTTTCATCATAGTGTCGTATATATTTCCACAAAGTTTAATGTTATCTACTGAACAATTTATGAAAGTCAATCACTTTTAAAAAATATATATAAACATAAAGAATTTGGAGTTGGCTAAAAGATCTTACTCTCATCTAATCGACCGCGTTCATTTTATTCATTAAATAATTAAAAAGCATTTTCTATCAAGTTATGTTAAAAACTATTGATGAATGATTCGAATAAATTATGAGTTTCTTTGTTGATTATTTCAAGATATTTTATGATATAAATTACTTTGTGTTTTGTTCAAAGAATCTTTTTGTTGTTCATTTCAATTTAATTGATTGCTTTCCCTAAATCTTTATCTGCGATATATTTTTTGTGAGGTCGATTAAATTTGTTGTCTCATTGTTTTTCATCTTATAATGATATGTGTGATTTCACCAGGAAAACAAACAGTCTGTTTTATTAATTGAACATCGTTTTTTTTTGAAGGAACTTGTTAAACCAGGAGATTGGGATTTACTTTATCGATTTGATACATTTATTTTGTCATTCCACTGAAAATTGATCAACACCATTTGTTGGTGAAAACTTGTTATATCAAATAAATAAATAATAAATAATTTTATGCACATACGAATTAAGGAGTTGGAACCGTAAAATATACTTTGAACGTAAAATTATTTAATATAGAAAGCAGAAAACCATTTTTAAGATTTATATTCACTTAAACTTGTATGATATAAATTTTTGGAAGTATTCACTACTAACAAGCACCCATGAAAGAATTTAGGATGCTCCAAGATAAAGGTATGGGACATAAGTTTGTTAATTACGCCAGTGACTAACATTCACTAGACATTTTACTCATTCCTATGTCCTTAATTTACTTCATAATTTGGATGTTGATTTGATATTTGATTTGCTTTTACGTCCATCCAGTCTAAGCTTAAATCTATGTCTACTATGATGTATTTTAACTAACAAATCGGCAGTCATTGAAGTACTTCTAATACATTTGCTTTATTAAAAGAAGTAATGAACATGTGGAAAGAAATTGCTTCGTAATGTTTAAATGAAGCCTCTTAATGATTAATTGCATCACTAAATCTTTAGCAAAATCTTGTCACCCATTCCTGAAAGTTCCGTAGAAAGCTATCAAGTGCTGTTGAGACAAATCGCAGCGTTTTTTGAAACGGTATACTCACCTTCATGAAGGTCATAAAACAAGGATAGACATAGGAATAAACACTATCTTGAATTGTGACGTATAAAACTTCTTTTTCCCCTGTTATATCAAATGGTTGTCAGTGAGAACTTTTACATTCTAATCCAAAATCAAATTGTGAATGCGTGCACGTTAGACCCATCATAAGCTGCTATCCACTCAGTCAATTTTGGAAGAACATTATGGTTTTCCAATATTCTCGAAACTGTCATAGGCAAAAGAATATTTTACTCAACAGACAAAACGTGTGCCTTCGTATTGACCCTATTTTGACAATGATGACCGAACGATGCTAACAAAATACTGAGCTTATTTCACTCCTAAAATCTTCTATCGACTGATGAAATCGATGCAATGTATATCGAAGTCGAATACGGGTACTTTAGATACGTAAATTTGATGCATACAGATGTTCAGTGGCGGACAAAATATAATATATGTAGCTGAAGTATATCTAATGAGTTAGTAATAGATTATATATCTACTCAAGAAATATTGAGATGACCAATTTTTTAAGCCGTTTAAAAATACACGTAAACAGACATTATCAAATACATACGTATAAGGACTCTGAAGAATACAAACAAATAAATGAGTCAAGTGTATAGAATGACTAGTGGTATCCGAATGAATCGTCTACTAATAATCTAGGATAAGCTGATATGAACGTCATAACAGAAAAGCCCCTATTGCATACTTCTATGTAGGCATAGAGCAGATTCTTTAATTACAGATTTCAAAGTACACTCCAGTTAATGACAACACATATTTGCTGATGTGAGATCCAATCTTGAGATTATCAAGTAAGGAGAGGTTTGGTATAGTCGTGTTTTCAAATTCTGCATATCTGTGGTCGCTTCAAATCTATATTTTTGTGCAACATAACCTAAAAAGTATGTTGTGAAATCCATTCTTTGTAGTTCGTACGAGAAAGTGTTAAGACGCAAATAACAGCCCCCTAATACGTTTTACACCCAAACAAGACATAATTGGACGGAATGTTGTCAGTGAATATTATCTCCACGGTTTAGTTGTAGAAGTAAATTTTCTTCAAGATGTTGGGCCGTGAATGCTAAGTTACACAGATATCTAAACCATGATGATGTATAATAAACGCAGCCTCTTATTAAGATATTGAATATTTTGGATACTCCAATGCAACTATCAACTGCCACAGTAATCTATAACTAATTATGGGAGCACTTAATACAAGGGTTAGCGTGAACTAAAAAGATAATCAATGACAAATTCGGCGAGACTCTAATTTAGGGACGAGCCAATCAGAAGCGTTTGAGAAATTTCAATTATTAGCCAATCAGAAGACCGTTAGTATAAAGTAAAAATATATTATAAGAAAGTAATGAATTACAGTGGATATTCTTCTTTTACATGATTTAAAAACTTGTTAAGGTTTGATAAAGGTTCAGAGGTTCTGAATTCATAATGTATACGGTATAGAAACTCGTCCATAGGGCTAGGGTTAGTGTGAGGGGTTAGGGTTGTAGCCTCTCAATAATCACCTCTTCTCTAAAATCCGCTGTAAACCGATCGTATGTTAGCATTACGTGTTGAAATTGGCTTCGTGACCCTGAAACTGCTCAAACGTTTCTGATTGTCTCGTCCCTATATTAGAGTCTCGTCACCCTAACCTCAAACCCTAACCCTATGGATGAGTTTCTATACCGTATACATTATGAATTCAGAACCTCTGAACCTTTATCAAACCTTAACAAGTTTTTAAATCATGTAAAAGAAGAATATCCACTGTAATCCATTACTTTCTTATAATGTATTTTTACTTTATACTGTCTTCTGATTGACTGATAATTGTCAAGGTCATTTAAGAAACGTTCAAAGGACGTCCCTAAATTACAGTCTCGCCGACTTTTTTATGTGATGGGATGTCACAATTGCTTCTAACCCCTGATGCAATATCCATGGTATATATATAAAAATCTCTTCTGTTTGTATCTCATCTGGTAATATCCCCTTGTTTCACCCAAAATCACAATTTACTGTTTTCAATCCCTTCATTTGTCTTTTGTGTCATTAGTGTCATTTTTATATTATTATTTACAAACAACTCGTACATGTGTAGGTGTTATGAAGAAACTATTAAGAATTTGTGGTGGTTGAATGAACTGATGATACCTTTGTACTTGTTGAATGCTTGATTTCGAATTCCAAATACAGTACATTCGTTTGTGGTCATCTAGTACTTCTTGATCCGATTACGTTATTTCTGGGATTCTTAGTTCATACTATGATTCAAATACTCCTAATTATCACAGAATTTCATGACAAACATCCAAAACCCAACTGTTTCACCAAGATTTGCATTACATTCACAATATTTTAACCGGTTCTGTGAAGTTTAGAAAGATGTAAAGTACTTATATGTATGAAGCATGGGTGATTTCGTTGATACTTAATAGGTTGCAAAATCCTATTTCGGACAGAAGTTCATTGATGAAACACATGAACTGGATTATGGCTTTACTTCATGGACACTTGCTCCACTGGGTTGAATAGCGAATAATTCGGGCGTAAGTTTGTACGGAGTCTCGGAACTGGTAAGATGACTTCTTTATGTGACTGAGTATTATGTGGTGGATTACAAAGAGTAAGAAATGCAACTTAGGAGCATGTAGATAAACTCCAACTCGAGATCAGCAAGCCTGATCCAAAGAGGCTAACTTCAGTTCGTGACACCTTAAGTAGTAATTTCTATCTTTTTAATGCCTTAAAATAGCCTTAATTAATCTTAACTTGACATCTTTAATTTTTACAGGGCCTTTATACCTACGATCTCTGTGAAATAAGACACCATATTCCAGGATGGGTCGCATACGTTCTTTATTGTCATTTTCAGGTCTTTCCCAGTCAAAATTTTTCGGACTTATTTGTTTCTTAAAACTGGAATTTTGCTTCTATTTCACAATATTTCGCTGACTGTACCATTTTGTTTTAGTCAACGATGTACTGTGACGGCACCATTCTTTTCACTCAGTAGGTATTGAACATTCTTTTTCGTAGGAGTTCGTTTCATGGCTTGAAATCCATGACGTTTGTGAACCTTTTGCCAATCATAATTGAAGTAAATTGGACAAGTCCCGTATATGAGTATGTTACAGTGAATTATGTGTAGGCTAGAAAGTGTTTACGCCATGGTTGAATCTTGTATATGGCGAAGGGATTTTAAGAGATTTTAAAGCTATTTCATAATCACTTTAGTTTATTTATCATATGTTTTAAACAAGATGTATGTATGTATGTATGTGTTAAAACTACTGTTGAAATAGTCGCCGTATAACTTCCATAGAGAAGATTGTGATGCATTGACTAGCTTAGAAAATGCAACAAATGACGTGATGTGTTGTTTACTTATTATTAACTGGCATCTTTCACCTTTTATCAGAAAGGGGGTTTGTGGAGATTCTGGTATTTTATTAGTTGAGTTCATGACCGCCATGGAAAAATTGGAGGCACTGGATGGCCGTTTCTTCCGACTATAGAACCCCTCAGCAGTGCGCATTCACGATCGCGCCCATGCTATTTGAACCCAGGACCTTCAGTCTCGCGCACGAATGCTTAACTTCTAGACCAGTGAATCGGTATCCAGTCAGAAAAGACGATGATGTGATTTTATAGGTTACATAAATATATCAAAAGAAGTTCAAAACATTGCTATGCACAGTAATGTTATTGTGTAGCTAACACTTATAGCGAGGGCGATAATTTCAGTCAATCCACTTTTGTGTAGCAGAACACTGTTTTTCAGGCTCCTTATGAATAAAGACGAAGCAAACAATAAGTGATACTGAGGTAGTTTTCTACGCTTGTTGCCCAGATTCACGTTACTAATTTTGTTAACACCGCTATTATATTGAGATAACCTATAACAAATTTATTCAGACTCTGATATTTAGACGTAGGAGCTGTAATCACATGGAAATGTATGACAAAGTAAAAGTGATAGATGATGAGTGGTAAAGTTATTAGTGTTTCTAAAAATGTTACTCTCCCTAAAAGTTTAGTATTATGTCTGGAATACACTGCTGTCAGATACCGGACATTTCAGTAAACATAGCGTGCAACTGCTATGTCAGAAATATATGTTTTTATTATCCTGTAAAGTAGTCATGTTAACGGTAAGTTGCTTGACGTACTGGAAGTATAAACCGGTATTTTATAAGTTACTAATGTGACTAAACAGATCCAGTGAATTCGCTATAACCTTTATATGACAACTGACGTTCACAGTTTACTATACTGATCTGAAATCAGGTAAATGTGACACAAATCCAGTTACAAGCCTAAATCTCCAGCTCCTGTTTTATCAAAATGCGATTATTTCATAATTTCCAGGCTTCTAACCAAAAGGTGATAAAAATAAGTCCTAAGAATCATTT